TGGGACCAGACACCAAACGTTGCACATACATGTGATGAAGACTAAAGCTTTGATCATGAATGTCAACAAGGCCAACACCACCAAACGTACGAGGTAAGGTCAGAGTAAACATTGCAGGCCTAGGCCAGAAAGGTAAGAGGTAGCCACGAACAATTGACTTAACTGAGCCAAGGGACTTGTTGGTATAGGAACCAATCGAAGAAAATGCCAGAGACGACTAAGAAGCAGAGAATGAGCTACCAGGCCAGAACCACGCAAAGAGAGGGGCCGACCACGAAGCATTTCTGTGTGTCGAAGTATCTTGACCCAAATATCTTCCACAAATGACTCCAACTGACTCGTTGTATGATATAGAGGATAGCGTAAATACCGGACAGAACCCACAGAAGAGGAATCATGCCATTCGACTTTGGCGGAATTAGTGATGTCTATCCAACAAGCATGCCGAACACCCGACAAAGATAGGACGACAGTTTTGTCAAGATTAATCTTGGCATTAGAAGCAGAGCCATAAGACGGACGAAGATCAAACAGGATATCCCATTCACCGGGACCAGAAAGGAAAACCTCTAAGTCATCAGCATAACTCAAAAGCTTAAGCCGGGGAGGTGGATCCATCACAGATTGGCTAATAAAATCGCGATCGGAGGATGAAGGAGTATCCAGCCATACCGGACGCACCAAAGGAGATGAACTCGACCCAGCTATACCACTACGCAGAGAAACACCAGAAAGATCAGCACAACACAAAATTGACCTAAGGAGAGGTTCAAAGGCCAAGTTAAACAAGAGCGGCGAAAGAGGGTCACCTTGTCGAAGACCACGTGACTGGGAAATAGGCACACCCAACCAGCCATTAATGGAAATAGATATCTCATTACCAAAGAACCGAGTACCAAGACAATCTACCAATTTCAAAGGAAGACCAAATCGAAGAAGAACCTTGCGGAGATAATCCGGATGGACCCTATCATAAGCTTTTTCTTGATCTAGTAAAACTGAGACTTGTCGAAGATCAGAATCTGCGTTACGAGCATTAGCCATAAAAGTTTGGTTTAACCAGTCATTGTCAGAGATTAACCGATTTGGTATAAAACCAGTTTGATATCGATTGATTAGTTGAGACAGGATCACATTAAGACGATTGGCCAGAAGTTTCGTAAACAGTTTAGCATCGCTGTTGATTAGAGACAAAGTCCGCCAGTTTTTCAGCATCATTGGATCGCCTTTCTTATAGAGCAGAACCATACGAGTTTGTTGCCAAGAGATTGGATACACACCTATGAGTGCATCATACAGAATTCCTAATAGCATGGTACGAAAGTCAGCCGAGGTTTTGAACAGGTTCTTGTACACCTCAAACGGAAGACCATCTAAGCCAGAACTTTTACCAAGGGGAGTGTGACTGACAAGATTTTGAAGAGTGTCCATAAGAATAGGCTCCACCAAAGATTCAGAATCATCAGGGGATAACACCACATCATGAGGGATACTAGCCAAGAGAGAGTCAACAGCTGCATCATCAATTAAATCGGGTGTGTATAGCGCCTGGTAAAACCCTCTTGCCTCCCGAATAATATCATCTGATTTCACTAGGACCAAGCCAGTAGTGGAACACTTCAAAGACTGTATAGTTTGCTTAGACTGTCGCTCTTTGATAACCCGGTAGAAATATTTGTTGTTCCGTTCACCTAGCTCGTGTCAGCGAGTGGCAGACCGAAGCATCCATTCACGCGTTTTTTTCCGAATCCGAGTATCAATAAGCTGGTCGAGTTCATCAAGTTTGATAGTATTATCTACGTTACTGGGAGAGCCATTATCGCCGGTGACATTGGCTAACAGAAGAGTACGCTCATGTTGTAACGACGCGACCTTATTCTTGAAACGACGTTTAGAACCACAAGTATAGTTTCGAGCACAACATTTAAGTGACGACTTAAGAGATTCCCAGATATCCTGAACAGGGACCGGTCCATCGTCATGACTGACACCCGGATTATCAACATATAACACTGAGCCATAAAAGACCGCCACGGTTGTGTCGAGTAACGCCAAGAAGTCAGCGTCATCCAATAAAGCTGGGTTAAAATGCCAGCAACCGGGACCAATATCAACACGGGCAGGAACAAGATCGATTGAGAGTAGACAACGATCGGAGTACGCCGAAGGGACTTTTCGATTCATACCGTTCACTAGTCGAGTAGCCAAAGATCGGTGACCAAAGACATAGTCAATAATAGTTCTAGAGTTACCCTGTGTGCGAGTTGGGAGACCGGACGGAAAACAATTGTCGAAATGACTACGAACCCAATCAAACCATGCCAAAACAGTGGAATGACTAGTAACCTGGACATTATGGAGATTCAAGTTGAGATCACCCATCAGCAACCAAGGCGTCGTAGACAAGTCGGAGAAAAAAGGTAGAGATAGAAAATTACTCTGAAAGAGAGGACGTTCCGAAGACTGTGCCGGTACATATACAGAGGCAACACGACATAAGACATTATGTTGAAGATCCATTACAGAGCCAACAACACAACGCTCATTCAATGAAATAGCAGTGTCATCCAGATAGAGACCAGAGTTAAGACATACAATCGCACAATACTTGCAGACAACGACCGAGCAACGAGGAAAAAGAAAGGTACAAAATTGAACAATTTGATCATCAGTAAGATGGGCCTGATGAAAAGAGGAAACTTCTTGAAGACAAAGAACATCCAGAGACAAAGAACGATTACGCAGAAAAGAAATAAATTCCTTTTGTATTTGAGGGCTCGTCGACTTGAAAATGCTGCGCGCATTAAGTGAGCCCAAGCGAAGAGGTTTACTTAACATTGCGCCTTATCGGCATTATGTTTAGCTTTGTTTTTAATATAGTCAATCAAACCCGGGGGTCTATCAACCTGATATTCAAGATCGCCAAATTGTTTGAGCTTGGCTAGTAGTCGAGTACCAGTTTTGTCCTTTTTACTTATAGCATGGGTATTACCATTCACTTTACTTCCAACTCCACCACCATGTGGAGTCGCACCAAGATCGGCAATCCCCTTACAGCGACCCCCAACACCACGATTAACACCAGCACCAGGACCAAGAGTAGCATCATCACCACAGCCAACACCAGTATCACCTACGACCTCAACACCAGAGGCAACAACCATATCAACGTCATCAACAGTAGCCGCATCTACCATAGCATGCACCTCATCATCAGCTATGGTATCAGTAAGAACAACCATGTCTTGGTCAATGTCAAATACGTTCTCTGACATGTCAGTCCCAGTTGTCTTGGATGACTCGCTAACTTGATGGTCAGACTCTTGAATGATTTGTACATCCATATCAACATCTGGGGAATAATCCGCCCATTTTGAAGAAGAAGCGCCCTTAGGTTTAATCGAAGAATTTGCCTTCGCAGTAAGAATACTCTTCATATCACGACTCAAATCATTTCGAGTCTCATCAGTGCGTGGGTTACAGGAACGAAGATACTCGTACAAGTCGATAGAGTCCGAAGTTTTCTTGGCCTTACAAAACTTCGCAGTGTGACCACGACCGTTACATTTGAAATACACTCTTTTGGCAAACTCCGGGCAGTCCTTACGCATATGACCAGCTACTTTACACCAATGACATACCGGAGCAGCACCCTTGTATGACGCGGCAGCAAAACAATCCCATTGTTCCAAGTATAAACTTTTTGACAAAGGTTGGACCGGCATTGTGTCGCGAAGATCGTTAACATAACCAGAGGAAACATCCAAGAAAACAGAGATCTCACCCTCAAAGAACACATGGTAGGTGAACTTTTTAATTTGGTACACCATACCCTAATAACGCAAGGATCTTTGAAGATCGGCCACAAAATGTTCTTCATCGGGAATACGAAGCATGATTAACTTGACGTGCACCAAGTTACTATTCGACATGCTATCACTTGAAGGAGATGCTTTGAAGCACAATTCACCAACCAGGACCCCAACAGATACAGCCTTAGTAGTACTAGCCGCATTAGAAAACTTCATTTCCACCAGAAGATTCACAGAAGACCTACCACCATACTTGCTAATCGGTCGGACACGGACAATTTTACCACAACTTGCTTCAATTGCAGTGTAAGCATCAGCGCGAACCTTAAACAAGGCAGCGGGAAAGGAAAACAGAACAGAACCAGGAGTCAAGGCTTGACGAACAATAGATTCAACTTTAGGGGCCAAAGTTTGAATGTCCAGTTCAACATGCTGATAAATTACCGTACCAGAGAGTTTATAATCTTTGTCTTGCGTCTTTGAAGAAAACACTGGACGTACAATTTTTGTTGAGGCACTACAAGCGGCAACAGTTGTCCAAGACAACCGATCATTTGATTCCAGGTCACTCATTTTCAAAATTGGAATCAAGAATTGGAAATTGAGAATTGAAAAAAGTTTTTCGTTGGAAGATTTCTTCAAATGTCGAGATTGTGGTCGAGATCGAAGAGATGGACGAAAGCGTAATAATTAAAAAGATAGAATATTTAACGACGCGTTGAATGAAAAAAGAAATTTTGATGCATGTATAGAATTCACCGAGATATCGTCGAAACAACAAGATTGGATGCAAATACCTTTTGTAAAAATTCTTTAAGCGAAAGAAAGCTCTTTTGGATGGAAATACCTTTTGTAAAAATTCTTTAACCAAGCAGAAAGTATGGTGCCCGTATCTTTGATCGTGTATCAAGATTTACCCAAACTCTTTCCCGACTTCCCTTTTATTTTATGCTGGAGTAGCTGCTCTTTTTCTGGGCATATATATATTTCTAGAGTCTCTATCTCTATATTTACCTCGTACTCTCGTTATCTATGTCTATATCTTCTAACCCCGAGGAGGTGAACTCCTTCGCATCCATGTTGGACGTACAGCGTGTTCATAACACAACACTTGTTGCGCCTTTTCAACCAGGTCAAGATATCTCACACTGAATCAAGCAATTTTCTCTATCGGCTGAGTATCTCGGTATGAATAGTGCCACCTCTAGGGAGTTGCAAATAGTCAAATACTTCCTTCGGGAAGCCACAGGCTGGTTATTGCGTCTAACGGTTTTCCCCAGCAGCACCGATATCAAAACCAAACTTGAAAGTATGTACGGTATCAACCCTGCAATCCAAGATCCAATTGTCTCCAACAATTGGAATCACTAAAACAAGGTCTACGCCGCGTTACTGAATATCAAATGAACTTCGAGACTATTGTTTCTGATTTTCCTGAAGGTTATACGTAGGCAGACCACACCTTCCATAACATCTTTTTCAACAATCTCAGACCTGAGCTCGACACTGCTTTGCTCGGCATTGTCAATCCCTTTGACACCTGAAAGACTCTGGCTGCCTCTGTCGCAATTTGTGAATTGGTATTGTCATTGGGTAATGATCTGTCATGAACCACGTGGTCAATACCTTAATGCATAGGCGCATACATCCACCCCCGGATAGATCTGCATGTATATGCATATCATATTTAACAGCTCATGTGACCAAACCATCCGACACCATCATGAGACCGATCACGATTCATCACCATGGGACCACGTTTCAAGACCAAACCAACATATGCCACCACCCTCGTCCCATTATCCCGCCGCAGTACCTCGCCTCAAGACCTTCCCAAGGCCTTAACTCAAGACCTTAACGTTAAGAAGATAGTCCTTAAGACTATCTTTCTTTTATTATAATCACCTTACATTATTTAGATAATTACAGTTCCTTATCTGATATCTTGTATGCCTTATTGTTATTATATAAACCTTTAGCTTTACTACCTTTTCTTGTATGTTTTCTCGCAACCATATAGTTCTACCCTGTGTTGAGGATGTCATACATTATAATAAAGGAATTATCACATTTACAGAATAATGGATGATCATGTATAAATATTCATGGCTCACACTTCGCCCCATTTGTTATCACCAGAACCGTTGGTGTCTGTGCACAAGGTGATTCGCCTTGTGACGAGTAAAATATTATAATACCATAAACGTATAGTGCAATCCTATAAGCGGAATATTTGGTTACTGAATATTACACGCAGTAAGCTTTCTCTTTGGCATTTAGATAATGTCATCTGCGGAGATGAATATAGATCCTCACGTACTTTTGTCTTTACTTTGTAAGACAGGAATTACTTCATAACATATTTATTTCAACAGACATTGCGTATAACATGTATCATATTCCTCTAACGCGTCACACATATTATCCGAAAGCCATGTAATCATTTAGTAAAAATACCTGTAGTTTTTGCTAGTAGAATTCCCAAATCTAAATTTTCTCGAAATAAAAGATATACACAGTTCTAACAGTATTTTCTTTTGTGACCCTAATTTACATTTTATCTCCATCCCAAATACCCGGTACTTAGTCTTGTCATGTAAGTATAAAGAGACCTGTTCTCGTATCTAGTAACATCCGGCTAATTCCTGACATGATCATTTCTTGGCTCCTCAACCACATGCTATAATCTTCGACGGTCCTACACCTGTGGAAGTTAACTCGGAACAAAACCACCATAACCACCGATCTTCTAGTAAGTCTGATAAACAAAATAAAGACCGTATACGTCGTTGGGCTGCATCTGGACAGCCAATTTGTGGCCTTTGGGGTACCGAAGGACACGTTACCAAGAAATGTTCCAGGAAAACCGAACGATTCCAATCTGTGGAAAGAGTGAAGAAAGCAACTCCCACAGTCACGTCTACCTCTTCTGCGACAGTACAATATGTTTCATGGGTTTGTCCTGTCCAATGTTAGTATGCTTTTATCCCTATTGAACATAACCCTATTGCCACAAATGGTGCAAATGTTCACCACATTCCCGTTATTCTAAAAGCCGGTCTTTTGTATATCTTCTTTTCGTCACAACATTACCGAGCCCACTGATACGTCTTCGACACCCAAGATCAGAATCCATTTCAAAGGTCAATTGGTTTTAGGTTTAATTAACACTCGTGCATCGTTAACAGTTATGCGTCCATCTCTGGGGAAACTACTGAATTTGGTTCCAGATACCACCAGCCGAATCTGTTTTACCACTGAAGTTAATGAAGTCTATACAGTACCTCTCTGGCAATGGTAAAGGTATCTACACTCGTTGTTGAGCAGCCAGTCATTCTGGACTGCCACGTTGCGCCCAAATTAGCGCATGGGCTAATTGTCGGTTACGCGGTATTCAGATCATTGGAAGCGGCTATCGATTCTGGTACGAATCAAGTGCACATTCCGACAGGTGGCAAAACCCAACAGCTGTTAACTCGGTGTGTTCCATGGCAATTTCGTTATTCCTTTCAGACTTGCATCATGAATTTGTGGATATCCAAGGACCTCCAGGTAAGTCGACATTCGTGTGTACCCCACAAAACATAGCTAAGAAAAAACGGCTGTCAGTTGCTGTGGGTGTAGTCCAATTCAACGACAAGGGTGTAGCTACGGTGAAAATTACTAATTTAGATACCACAGTTATTTGAATTAATAAAGGGCCCTCGCAAGCACATCAAACTATTTTTTAAAGTTCCCGATTAAGGACATTAATTTTTTTTTTTTTTTTTTTTGAAAGGTTACTTCAGACTTCCAAAAGAAATCTTTTTCTGAAATCCATGACGTTGCTTTTTAAATGACCCAATCTGAATGATTAATAACAAAGTTTTTGCACATTACTAAAATATCTGTTCCTTTATTTTTTAAAGACAAAATTTCAGTTTAACCGATTTTTTTATTATATTTTAAAAAGATAAAAATTACAGTTTAAGAATGATGACCCCACAACAAATTGCGTTTATCGTGTCTCAGTTGCAGCTTCTAATAGTTCGAATCAACGAAGAATCTGAATCTCTCGAAGAAGATAGAATGGAAATTCTTAATTCTACGGGACAACACCTCGTAGAAAATATGACGACTCTTCATTCCAGTAGAGAGGATGGAACAGGTACGTCAGTGGGAATCTGTGCAGCAGACGGAGGGTTTACTCTGGGTCGGCCTCTTACCACAGGAGGGGTTGGGCGTTGGCCATTGATGAAATTAGCACTTGAATAATTTTGGAAACTCATATCTGTAAAATAAAATGGAGATGTTAGAAAAAAAGTAAATCGATAATAATGAAAGGCTCTTATTGAAAAATAAACAACATTTGTGATTTCAGTAATCGGATTTGGACATTAAATAATCTGATAGAAGGTTTTTGGGGCCTGCAGATTTTAATTCTTCGTTTGGACAATTCGGATTTTTTAGCACTGAAAATATTCAATGCTGTTATTAATCGTCCATAGATATTATTAAAATTTTAAAAGATTCTATTTGGAAAAACTGTAACCTTTCACAAAAATGTCCTTAATCGGGATCTTTAAAAAATAGTTTGATGTGCTTGCGAGGGCCCAAAGGTCGGCATAACGCTTCTTATGAGTATTTACCTTCGTTTCCGAAATTGCATATTATTTCTCGTTATTCTCTTATTTTTTCTAGTATCCAGTCTTGGAACACTCAAACGTCGAGTTGTTCACCAGATTTTACTCTGGGTTTTGCATGTTCGCTTGGTGATAATCCAACTGATACTTTGAAAAATATGTTGGGTGAATGTTCTGACTGCTTCGCTACTAAATTATCCACGGTTACTCCTTTGGTTAAACATCGTGTCAATACTGGCGAATAGTGACCGCTGTCAAAACCACCGCATCGTGTCTCTAATGCTGAGAACTACACCATCAATGGACTAGTAGAAGAAATGCTAGGGCAATGTATCATTCGTGAACGCAATTTACCTTGGGGCGCTGGTGTTGTACCAGTAACTAAACATGATAGCTGTCCTTGCTTCTGCGTTGATTACAGTCGAATCAATACTGTCACCACACGCGATGTCTATCGCGTCCATCGCATCGATGATGCTGTACAAAGTTTGGATAACCCAAAAATGCTCTCTACATTAGATCTTACCTTTAGCTATTGTTGAATTAAATTAGACGAAGAAAGTATTCCTAAGTCTGCGTTGATCTGTCGTAATCGGCAGTATGGATTTGTTCGAATGCCTTTTTGGGTTATGTAATGCACCTGCTACAATGAAACGCTTAATGGATTCCGTTCGGGCAGATCTGAAATGGCAACACTTTCCGGTCTATCTAGATGACATTTTCGTCTTCTCTCCTGACTTCGATCAGCATGGCACGAATCTTCGCTCTGTGCTCGATCGGCTACGCAATGCCCAATTGTCTATCAACCTCAAGAAATCAACGTTTGCTAACAGCAAGAATTATTTTCTCGCTTAAATGATCACACCAGATGGACTTCATACCGATCCCGAAAAAGATCCCCGCCGTTTCTGACTTTCCTTCTCGCACCAGTGTCGAAACCTTACGATCATTTTTTGGTCTCGCTCGGTACTATCGAAGTTTCATTGGAAAATTCTTAGTTTTCTCTGCTCCTCTGAACAACTTACTCAAGAAAGATGTTCCTTTAGAATGGTTACCAGTACATCCACAAGCTTAGGACCTGCGTGAAGACAAGCTAGTATCCGCTCTTGTCTTTTGGTTTCGACATTTCTCGGCCCTGTTTGAACATCATACCTATGGTGCATGTATGGCTGACATTTGTGTTATCCTATGTCAAGGGACCCTCGTAACAATAGGGCCTTCGCTGTTTTTTCGCGTCTCGTTCGGTATCACCTGCTGAAGAGAATTACGGTGTTTTGGAGGTCAAAGCTCTCGCCATCGTTTGGAGTATTAAAACGTTTGCACACTATCTAACGGCTACCAAAATTTACGGTGATCACGGATCATCAGGCACTCCAAACGATCCAAAACAAGAACACGGATCTTCGTGATTGGTTAGGTCGTTGGGCCCTCAGCCTACAGCAACAGGATTTCAAGATCGTAAATCGTCCTGGTACGAAGAATGCTGGTCCAGACGCCCTAAGTCGCTTTCCTGTGTCCACACCCAACTGCTTCCAAAAAATCGTTTGCAATTTGTCCACCAATGATTTCCTCAACGCTCAACTGAATAATCCTTTCTGCCAAGAAATTCGGTCTGAAGATCCACTTCCAGTTCGCTACACCATTGAGTCCGGTGTCCTCTTCTTTTCCTCCCGGCCGGTACTTCGACGGTCATTATGTCTTGAAACATTCGAACTCTTATGTGCCAATCCAACTACTGTTCACCTTGGTATTGGTCGTACTCTTCATAGATCCAATCGTTTGTATTACTTCCCAGGTCAAAACAATGTGTTCAAGATAGCATCAACCCCAGTCAAGTTTTTCAAAATACTCAAACGATCTAACACAACCATGGAATACACAAGCGTTGTTGATTCTGGCACATTCTCTCATCCATATGATACGATTATAATTGATTCGTTTGGTCCGTTACGGACGTCCAAGATGAGTAACAAATACATTATTGTCATCCAATGCATGTTCTCTCGATATATTGTTATTTCTGCAGTACCAGTAAATCACAGATCGTCAGGTGGTAAAATGCTTAAGCAAGATAATCGCTGAACATGGGATTTCTTGATAAATGCCTAGTGAGAATGGACAATCGTACGCTGGTACGCTGCTGAAGACGTTATGTATACCCCTTTCTGTAAAACAGAAATTCTCACCTGCTTACCACCCTCAATCTAGCGGTTTTGTTGAACGTTTTATGGTTACCCGCAGGAACCTGATGGTATCATTCATGGACTTTGACTATCAGCAAGTCACTTGTGAAGAAAATCTTAACGAATTTCAATTAGCATACAATTCAAGTATACACGATGCCACAAAATTCTCACCGTTCTCCCTGGTATGCGGTCGCGAATCTCGAACGTTGGCTTCCCCTGAATTTGGTACCAATCCATTCCGGCACAAGGTTATCAACAACAGGTTAAAAGGTTTTTGAGTCGGGCTTTAATCTTGGTACAGCTCGAAAACAACAAGTCGCAAGCAAAGAACGCCACTAATTTCAATTATGAAGGACAACAGCCTGATGTAGACCTTGGAGACTTGGTAATTGTCCTTTTTCCGGTACAATCAACCGCAGCTGGTAAACGGTCTATTAAACTGGTTCGATCTTTCCGTTCTCCCTTCAAAATTGTCTAGATTCTTTCCTCCGACAGATTCGATACACTGGAAATTGAAAACAACAAGTCTTGGTCGAATGCAAACTAGGGTCGAATAAAAAAGTTCGTTCAAGAAAACAATTTTTTTACTTCTCTCTGATCCCCCGTGATGTCGCCAGCCTCGATGGCATCAATTGTGTGATCAGCGTTAGAACAATCTCTTACCAAATTAGGCAGACCAAAAGATGAAGAACACTAAATTAGTATACTTTAGTGATAACATTAGTCAAACAATTAATTTAGTATCATAATCAATACATATAAAAACTCACAGAATAATATAAGAAGACAAGATCTTCATTCGCGTCAAAAAGTCTCGTTAATAAGTTTAGCTACGAAAGAATATAGTTATAAATTTCAATCTCTATGACCCATCAACCAATTATCTGGTATCACTTTAACGACCGACTTCCCTGTTATTTTAATTATAACGTACGTTGTCAGGTAAATTAAGTCTTGATTCGTTTCTCGGATACGGCTTTAGCAGCTGATGTAATTTTTTCCAAATACAGTAGGTGGATGAACTGTCCGGATGTTTTGCAAAAAATCATTTTATCAATCATAGTCTAATAGTCACCTTTTCGATTGGAAAAAGGTTTTGACCGTTGAATAGAACAGATGTTTCTGTATGTATGACTATAATTACAGGACAGTCCCGTCATATTTAGTTTGCTGACTGAGTGTTAAAAAAGCAGACCCCATCTGGACAATTTATCCGGTTTCTACAAAATACGTGAATTGTCCAAAAAGTTCTCGAAATTGGACATACACAATCACAAAATCATATTTTTTCTTGAATATAAAAACGGCTTCTACAATACAAGAAGTCTTTCTATTCATAAAATTAATTTCCTTTCCTTATTCTTATACTCCACAATTCTGCTAGAAATAATGAAATCGCTCTCAATCGAGATATAAAACAGTATTAAAAACCTCTTCAAATCGGGGGTTTCGTACTCCCAAATAATGGAGCGTGTGTTAGGTGTTAAAAAGTGCACAATTTCGGACTACAAACAAAAGTTTGTCCTTGACATGTCACATTCAGCATCAGGTCGTCATGGCATAGTAAAGGAGTCATCTCAAAATGCCATTCGAAAGAAGGTTGTAGTCGGTGATCTCAGAACAGAAAAAGAGGTGGAAAAGTATCTCAATAATCTAGGAGTCAAAATCGGATACTCTGCATGCCTGAAACTACTAAAATCGATCGGGTTTAAGATGTTTGTTAAAAGGAAAAAAACTTTTCTTAGGGCACATCACCGTAAATAAAGATTGGAATGGGCTAAAGCACATCGTAGTTGCACCAAAGATGATTGGAAATGTGTAGTTCTCTCTGATGAGACTAAAATAAACATTTGACGATCCCGAAGGCATTAAGCACTGCCGGAAAAGACCGGACGAAAAGTTACTGTTTCATCGTCTAAAAATTACAGTGAAGCTTGCAGGTGGAAATTTAGTAAGGTGCGAACGTGTAACATACGATGGACCTGGTTATGCTTGTCAGATATTTGATGGCACCATGAGGAAAGATGATTAGATTAATATCCTGGAAACAATAATGAAGGACACGATTGACTGGTACGGTTATGACCCTGAAAAATACATCTTCAGCAGCACAAGGACCCAAAGCAGACTTCTAAGCTATCAAAGCAGTGGCTTAAAGACAACAACTTTAATACGGACTAAACGTATAGCTGGCCACCTCAGAGTCCCGACTTAAATCCAATCGAGCACGTCTGCCACCACCTGAAATTGAAGTTGAGCTCTTATAAATCAAAAGCAAAAGGTGTTCATGAACTATGGGAGAGAGTCAAAGAGAAGTAGAATACCATTGCAAAGAAATAATGCCAGAGATACATAATGTAAGTGAAATATGTCGATGAAGCACGAAATATTGTGTCATGGTACACTAAAATGTTACACTAATTTGGACTATTTTCTGTTTTTGTAACTATTTTGTTGCAAAAACTTGCAAAAAATCATTGTAAAATCATATTCCAGAAATGTTTTTCATAATTTAAGGTTTTTGATTCTAAAACCTCTATCGTTGTACATTCCGATATTCTTTCGGAATTTAGTACTGGTGAGATGTTTTCCAGTCAAAAGTTCTCCCCTCAAGGTAGTCCACATGGCAACTATATTGATTTTAACTTTTTTATTTTTGTAATAAAAAGAAAATTTTTTGATACATTAATTGATCTTCATTAACCCGCACGGCATTTAAATTCGGCCATCGTTCTGTCATCCCTTGTACATTATGACGTCAAAAAATCAGAAGTCGAATATTTTTGGTATATACCTCTATGTTAACGAAAAAAATTCGTCTATACAAAGCTATCGTGGCACGTACGATTCAAGTCATGCTCTGTGGCAAAATAGAGAAAAAGGTTGGAAAGTTTTTTTGCGTTCCAATTCCATTTTACCTGTGAAAGATCGCGAGTTACGTTCGGGATCGGCCCTGTTGGTGGCGTCATTCTGAATCTCAGGTTGACTCTTAGAGTCTTTATTACTGTTACTGATTCTTGGGGCTCTAGCCATGTTCATTCGTCTTGATTGTCTTCTACCTTTTGGGATTAGCTGATTACGCTACGTTAACTCTGGCTCTGCCTCTGCGTCGAAGACTACCTCCACTGAAACGAATAAAATCGTCTTCGCCAATGTTAGACAATAGTTATTGCTTCCGAAAAAAGTGGCTGAATAAAGTCAAAGATTTTTTATTTTCAATTTATAGCTGTGACACCCAATTTTCAGAAACGGCCAATCAATTATTTTCACTCAACGCGTATTATTCCCATACATGTTTGCTGCTTTGACTTGCGCATCGTTTGGCCGCGCTAAAAAAAGAACATCTCCAATTACTAAATTTGGTATATACTGCAAAGTCAAAACAATCATTATAATATTAAAAATACTGGGTTATATATATCATATTTGAGTTTCCTAGTTATTTTAGTCCGAATGTTATGGTGAAGGATTGTTATTTATGCAATCACATTCCACGATATTAGTACTAATCATAGTGGTAATATTATAGTCCTGGTGAAAAAACCGATGACATCGACGTTTTACGACAGAAACATTAAAAAGTAACATGGTTGACATATTTTTGCCAGGCCATGTATGTACGTTTTCGACGTGCAAAACAAGCCTGACGATGTTCTGCCATGAAGTTGGAGTTTCTTTAAATCTGTAACCAACTTCGATAATCTCCGTACCGGTTAATAACGTTTAAACTATTCAACGAACGTTTCTAGATTATTTTAATTTAGTGAGGTTACTTCGTAAGCGTTATTATATCATCCCAAACTATAGGATCGTAACGGATAACGGACCAGAATAGCAAAAGCTATCGGATCTTGACGGATAATGGGCCAGAGTTCGCAAAAGCTATCGGATCTTGACGGATAATGGGCCAGAGTTCGCAAAAGCTATCGGATCTTGACGGATAACGGACGAGAATTACCAAAAGTATCGGATCTTGACGGATAACGGACCAGAGTTCCCAAAAGTAATGGATCTTGAAGGACAACGGACCAGAATTTTCTGAAGTATTGGATATTGAAGGATAATGGACCAGAGTTCCCCAAAACCACTTCACTTCAAATATTCGACGAATTGGGCCGAAACTTTCAAAATAAAAAACAAATGTCGTTACGTTGTGGTTTTGGTAGGATATAGGTTCAGGTAGTTCCTAACCACCAAATAATGGTAATACCAAAAACTACTTGCGGTAGTCGAGTGAGAGCCAACTTTTGTGCGTCCTCCTATGAATGATTTAAATCCGGAAGACCAAAACTCAAACTTTAAATTACAAAAACTGATATTTAAATGAATTAAATGCCCGATCAATCACAATTTTGGTGACAATGTTTGTATTACGCTAGCGGGCGTTTCTGCAAATTTCAAATCGGGATAACTGTCTGTAGCAGGACTTTAAATGATTAATTGTTTTCGGGTAAGTTATGCTAAGTAACCACGTATTTGATGCAAAGTACTTGCTAGGTGCGTTTTTGAAATGCAACTTTGTATTCTAGAAATTTTAAAAAGTTTACTTATCACTAGGAATTAGAAAACACTGGTCGGAGAATTTTGTGATGTTACCGTGATATTGACAGGGTACACGGCGTATCCTTCACGGTATCCTGGTACAACTGTCTTGAGTATACTCGGCGCATTCAGGGTACGGTACAAATATTTCGTATATTCTGCTACGTATTTCAACGTGATACACGCTATATTCTGTGCTGTATTATGGTAAAAATATACACTGTATCGTGGGATGTATTCTGTGCGTGCATGGGACACTCAATACCCGTGTATCAGACTGTTAACAGGATACGTCATGTACTATATGATGTATCTTGCGTTATTTAATATAGGATACGACTTAAAAGAAACTGTTGTTGGTTCTTGCATTTTAACATGGTGCTTTGTTATTGACCTTTGCTTTTTGGATGATACTTAATGACGCCTTTGATCAATAGATGAACGTTTGTTATCGCGCTCTTATTACGAATTACATCTGGTATTTGTGATATTATTTGTCGTTAAAAATGAATTTCATCTATAAACAGGCCAAAATTGGTCTAATTATGACGTGATATTACAACTATTTTACAAATCATACCTTTAATTCCATACCCAGAAGCGAAAAAAAAATAGGTTGAGAGCGTGACATGAAGAAAGAGTCAACAATACATGAGTAATAATCGGATTGTTTCCCAAATGGAGGAAGCAGCGGTTGTCACAGACAGATCAAACAGACATGGCGTTAAGGGTCCTCAATCGTCGAGGTTTTAAAAAATAATATTTTTTGAATAAAAATTAGCCAATCAGAATTTTTTGAATTTTTTATTCGAACGAGCAACTTTTTTCCTGTACATTCAAAAAAAACCAAATTTGAAAAAATTAATAAAAAAATAAAAAATTACGTCATAATGACGTAAAATTTCCAGTGTAACTGAAATTGAGGTAATGTCAAACAATAAAAAATTATGAGAAAAATGCATTATTAAGTTTCTTTTTCACTACTTTCAACTCTTTTTCTTTTAAAAAAAATAACATTAATTATGCCTCGTCAAAGTACCAATCAAAGAGAATACAACGCTTACAAGAATAGCTATCGTATGAAAAAAGAACTCACCAGAAAAAAATCGCATCATGGAAAGAATTTGCAAAGAATCCTGCTCTTGATGATGCTGAGAAGGAAAATCTCAATGATTTAATTGCTTTTTATTGCCGAAATTTGAAAAATGATGTCGAGAAACAAATGCTGGAATGTATTAGATCCAAGAGATATGTAGCTAATAGTGAGAACATAGTTCCAAAGTTGGTGACCAAAGAAAGAAGGTTGGATTTCCTGTTCAACGAAATTGACGACAGTGGATTTGTTAACGAAGTCAGAATGGACAAAGACTAATTCTTTACACTTTTGAAACTGATCCAGGACCATCCATTGTATCACGATACACCCCGAAATTGCCAAACAGATATCCGCCTTAAATTGGCTATCGTTTTAGAACGTTTGGGAACATATGGAAACAGTTCTTCAATTGAGAAAATTGCTAGATGATCTGGTGTCAGTGGTATGTAGTCATTATTGCAGTGAAATAAATTGGTATGCAGTAATAAATTAAAATGTATTCTTTTGCCAATAGAGAGCCCAGTTGTAGGTTTCACACTCGTTTCTTTAATGTGGTTCTGTCAATGGAAAATCAGTTTGTCAGCTGGCCATCACCTGGAAAAAAGTAATTATCAAGACCATTAACCAGTCGTATCTGGGTTTTCCTGACTGTCTTGGGTTTATCGATGGCACACATGTTTGTTTGGAGGAAGCACCTTTTTGGAGATAAAACAATTTCTATAACAGAAAAGGTAATCACTTTATCGAGACAATGGCAATTTGTGAGCTTAAACGAAGAATCACGTACGTAGAAACTGGTTACTTTGGAGGCTCGTACGATATGCGTGTACTTGCTGAAAGTGACCTGAGGAAAGGCCCATTGAAGTGTTGTGCTGGAAACGAGTATGTCTCGGGTGACGGAGGATGCTCTCCTACAAACAACCTGGTACCTGTGACCAAGGAGCCAAGAAATGGAACGACAGCCGATGACAACCAGCAGTTCAATACAGACATTTCTCAAATGAGAATTAAAATTGAACATGTTTTTGCGATTCTGAAAGCACGATTTTAAAGTCTTATGCAACTAAGACTAAAGATAAAATCCAAAAATGATGTGATTTTTGCCAGTGGATGGATTCGTGTTTGTATTGCTTTGAACAATTTCTTAATGGACCGTGAAAGCGATAGCTTTACCGCTATTTGGAGAAGAAATTTGCAGAGAAAGAAAGATTGGAACTGCAACAATTAGAAGATGAAATTCAATCCTCTTCTAATGAAACCACCACCAATACCGATATCACCGAAAGCGGAAAAGAAAATATCAAGCAATCAAAAACATTGTTTTGGAGGAAATGAAACAAAGAAAAAAAATGAGAAGACGTAGTAGTTAAAAAAATATTTATTAATATAGTTTATGTAATCTAGATATCATCATCATTATTATTATTATCACCGAAAATCTCATTTTGAACTTTCTGATGGCTTTAGTCAACTCATCAAAACCCGAGTTCTTAGCCAAAGTAAAAGCGTTTAACCCATCCAATCTTATCTTGAAAATGGCGGGAAAAGTCTTAGCATCGAAAAAACGATCTGTTTATTTTTGAAATGCCTTTTCTGCATCTTCCCGGATTGCTTTTGTCGCTGTCGAAGAAATCACCGACTTGCTTCTCTTTCTCTTCTTGTCATTCGAAGAAGAAGAATCCTCTTTTTTGGGTACTTCTACCTGTTTAACATCTTCATCCGAAGAATAAATTGCGGAACTCACTTCTTCGTCATCACTTACGATTAACACCGCAGCTCCCCGTGTACCTGAGAAAGGAACTTAATAAGCAGAGCTATTAGGGTACGCAGACTCGGTACAGTAGTCGCTCGATTTAGGGGTGTTCGATTTAAGGGTATTTTCTATTTACGGTGGATTTTTGAAAAACAACTTCCGTCCCCAGCATTAACACCACTAAACCACTATTCTATTTAAGGGTGAGATCCCAATTCCCCATACCCTTAAATCGAACGGGTTTTTACCATATTTGGGTTTTTTTTTTTTTTTTTTTTTTTTTTTGTGCCCAGTCGAAAAAAAAAATTTATCAGTAACAAATCATCATTTTTTAAAGTCATTTGTGACAGGAGAAGTAATTTTTTTATTGGAAAAAGCGACGAATATCAGCTTGTTCTTTCAAATTTTCTACTTCAGCACGAGATTCAGCCAATCTCATTCGAACACGTCTATGGAACTGATTGTCCAAGTCATCCAAAGGCACATCCAAGGCCAGAATCGTCTCATAAGCTTCCCTCAACCGTTTTTTACAATCATTGATATCGACGTATATCTCCTGTTCAGGTATCATTGGGATCTCCTCCTCTCCGTCCATCACGATCTCCTCATCATCAATGATAAACATCTCGTCAGAATCCAGATTCAGCTGACTGACATCAGCGATCTCGTTGTCTGAATTACCAGGAAGATTGGGCAACAAATTGTTGATCTCCTGGACAATGTTATCTTCCAGAGGCAAGGGGACAGTGGGTGGTAAAGCCAACGCGTCAGGGTTTTCTTTGAATCCCAAGATGTTGGTATGCCTCCAACAGTTCTGTATTGTCTCAGGCGTTACCTTTAACCAAGCATTCGCCAAGTAAAACATGGCTTGCACCTGATTCATGTTGTAAACATCCAAGTTATCTAACTGTTTTCTGGCGAACAAATCGAGACTTCTCATGTACTGTTGGGAACGAAAGTAAGCCTTAAAGTTGGCAATAATTCCTAAATAAAGTGAATTAAAATTAGAACTTCGACTTAAAAAACATCCTTGTTTATTTTGTCCACCTGCATCGAGAGCTTGCAACATTCTCGTTGTATTGGCAGGAAGAAACACCAACTTTATGTTCACCGGCTTGAACTTCAAGTTATGCACTGCGGCATTGTCCAAAAGAAGAGCCACTTTTCTACCCTCTCGACCAAAAGCAATATCCAATTTTTTGATGTAAGCCGAGAACATCTCAGTAGTCATCCAAGCCTTGGGTGAGTGGTGATACTCCACTTAACAACGAGTGCCAATAGCTGTCATTGATAGCATTTTCGGGTCTGTCCTTAGCAACGAGGGCTTTTGAATTGCCCAATGACAATGGGATGGCCTTTGTAGGTACTTTCCGCATTGCAAAGTAACCCCACAATCACACGGGTCTTACTCTTCTTCAACCCACCAAGTGGTTGTGAGAAAATTGCTCTTCTTGGTTGTTGATTGTAGTACAATCCGGTCTAGTCAATGATCATAATATCAGCAAGAGGATAATCCGTCAATTCTTCCCGAATTTTTTCAAGCTGGTCTTGAATGCTTTGGGAATTGACATCAACAGAGGCACATTCACCATGACTTGGTCTACATTTTAAACCAAGACGTTTGAAAACCTTGGAAAGCCATCCATCAGAAAAGGTAATATCATCAGTGATGGAGTACTTTGAACGAGCGATGCGCTTGACGTACTCGATGATACAGGCACGGTTTACTGGTATGCTGCAGTCATTCATATGATTCACGAATTTTTCCACTTCTTTGTCAAGTTGAGGATACTTGGGTAGCTTTAAACTCTTGCTGTTCTTGATAAGAACAATGTTAGAATACAACTGATCGGCATTGTTGATGATGTTTGACACAGTTTGTTGTGAAAGAGATTTTATTAAATGAAACTTTTTTTGCGCCCATTTTCCAAGCTTTATCTGATTGGTGTTTCCCATTCCAAACTGATCTAAAATTTCAATTTTTTGGAAAATTGTAAGACGTAAACGTGTGTTGCTCATATTGAATAAAATAAAGATATGCAAGGATTGACAAAGTGTATCCAAAGTTTTATTATATAAGATATTCAAAATGTAACAGCAGCTGGCGCCTGGGCACTGTTTTTTAAAGAATAGTCACTATTTTTGATATAAGGGTGTTTTCTATTTAAGGGTGAGATTTCCAAAATTTCTGGTCACCCTTAAATCGAGCGACTACTGTACTAAGTTAAGAAGAGCTTTGAACGAAGGGGAAAATCAAGAAAATTTAAACCCTTTTATTCGACAAATGGAATCAAGGGGATATACTGTCACTGCTCGTCGTGATGAAAGCAACTGTTTGGTCAGTCTCTTTTTTTCATATAAAACAGCAGTAGAAAACGTAAAGAGGTGCCCGGAAGTTCTCATGGTGGGTGCGACCTACACAACCAATGCTTTTGGATATCCCCTTATCAATGCCATTGGTGTGAACAATGTCAGTGTCGGAAAAAAAGGAATGGGCTAATGAATTTTTCTATTACTTTGTGTTGGGTTGCAGATGAAACCAAAGAAACGTACAAGTGGTTTTTTGAAACATTGAACAACCAGGTAATGTTACTATTTTTTATTACACATACAAGAAGGATCTAACATCAAATACTTACATCACATCTTATCATTGGACTCTTAATAATTTATATTTTACGCTATTATTTTATTTTTTCATTTAAATATAAAATTGTATATTCATCATAATTATTATTGTGTATCCATTCAATATATCCAATTATTATAATCAAACTGTTTATGATAAAGCAGGCACTTTACCAGAAGTTGTGATAACAGATAGAGCAACCAGTGTCAGAGGAGCTCTTGACTTGGTTTTTTGCCAATGTCAATAAAATGATTTACATGTGGCATTTAATTGTTCAAAATCTTAAAACAGCAGCCAAAAAGCTATTTGCTGCCGCTGAAGATTCAGAAGATTTTGAAAAACTCTTTTGGAGACTTCACCAGAGTAAGACCGTGGAGGAAAGCGTTAGCAACGTTACTACAATCAAGAGAACAATCAAAAAGTTTGGCTTGGGCCAAAAAGTTTTATCTTGTGTCGAAGAATTAGACAAGGAAGGTAGATTCTGGATTCGTGCGTACACAGACGAATTCTTCGCATATGGGAAACTACTCGACAAGCCCAGTCAAAAGTGCTCATGCAGCTTTGAAATGAAAAAAAAAGCAAAGGGAAAATGCTGCTTGCAAGCAACGTTTGAAAACCTTGACCAGGTTTTTGTGGGTCACGAAATGAAATCGGTAATGCCAAGGGTATACTCAAAGACTAGATGCGACCCTTTCTTAATGAACAATGATATGTACAAGCATATCATTTATGTTGTTAGTCAGTACTGCATCGAGAAAATACGAGAACAAGTGGAGCTATTCAACAAAGAAGCCAGTGAAAAGAAAAACAGTGCCTGTACACATATATTTCAAGCAACGATGAAAATCCCATGTCGACACAAGATATTCCATGTAGAATATGAATCTCTGATTGACAATAACGACATGCAATGTATGGTGTTGCGTAAGAATATTGCAGTCCAGCTAGAGTGGATTGATCGTCGTTGGTTTATTAAGGACACTGAGCCAGTTTCCAATGCTGAAGAGTCAGATCAACTCGAATCAACAGTTTCTGTTGGTATGTGTCTTGACTACGTGGTTATAAATACAAGATAACTGAATTTTGTATCATAATAGATTAGTATAAAGCAGACACAGACTGGTATACTGCTCTATACAATTTGGATAAAGCGTTTGAAGCAATCCCATTCGATTATATGAAGAAAGAAAAACTAGACTCAATAATTAAATTGACTTAGTCTATCAACAATAATTCAAAAATAAAATTATTCCAACCAATGGCCAAAAAATGTGGATTTCCAAACTCGCGTAAGTTAGATATGTACAATGATACAAAACAGTTATTCACAATTATTTTTAGAGAAAACCTCAAAGATTGGGAGAAAACTGTCTCAGAGCGAGACTACCGAGTTGAGGATTTAGGAAGACATTCATGCGATAAAAAAGCAAGAAACCCTTAAAAAGGTCAGAACAGCGATAGCTATGAGAGCTGCAAAGGACGTCTTGTTAGAGCATAAAAAAAAACAAAAAAACAACCCGTGGAATTTACAAACCTGTCTCCGATAAGTCCATTAAGAGTATGGTAAATGATGGTGTTCCTAGTTTTATGATAGAGCACATTGACCGTGTTATTGACGTTGAAAAGGATGGATACTGTGGGTTTCGTGTAATAGCAATCGCTTTAGGAAGAAATGAAGACGACTGCTATGACATCAGAAAAGTGCTTCTGATGCATCTTGAGAAGAAAAAAGCCTTTTTTTTTGAAGTATACCTTCGCTGGTAACGACGAAGAGTGCATGATCCTTGTGAAAAGAGTAACTTTGGATATTGATGGTCCTTGTCTTGAAGACAACTGGATGAAAATGCCCCAATCAGGTATATATCATACCATTGAGATTCTTTATTAAACAAGAAACCCTAATTATTTCGAACTGGAATGATTATTTCTGATTTGTACGAACGTCCAGTTCATTTCTTCTCGACAAAGGGTTGTAGGTCTTTTATTCCCGACTGTCCACAAAACAAAAACAAGGCAATTTCACTTGTGTTGCTGGGTGAGCATTACCTGAGCCTAAATTTGAAGCCTGATTGTCCTTTACCCAAGTTAAATGAAAACGATCGTAATCGGGATCGTATCAACCAGGGTTTCCCAACAAAATGCTACCTGGTACAACTTTTCCAAGACGGAATAAAGAAATTCGAAGATTTAAAAACTATAGTAGATGGACAAATTGAAAAGACAACAGAATATGTAGACCTGATAGACAGCGAAGAAGTAGATATCAATCACCAAAAATCCGCGTATAAAAGCGATGTAAAAAAAACCACTCAAAAACAAGAGATAACCCAAAAACAAGAAAAAACCCAAATAACCAAAATAACGCAAAAAAAATAAATAATTCAAAAAAACCAAAAACAAAATATAAACCAAAAAAAACCAAAAACAAAATATAAACCAACAAAACAAAAAAACATATGGAAAATACAAAAGACACCGAAAAAATAACAATTAGAATACCTACAAAAAACATGAAAAGAAACGGGCTTAACCAACTTACTCTCAACAAACCTAAAAGAATCAAGACTGACTTCCAACCTATGTTAGATTCAACAAAAAAAAAACAAATCGAAAGCTACCATACGACACTTAACAACATGAAAAAATGGACGACAAGTCAAAAACACTTTGTCCTATTTGCTCAGACAAAATTTGCTCAGTTGAAACTTTAGATAACCATCCATCTACAGAGCGCATCAAAATCCATGCAGAAAAATGACTTTTATTGCATTCAATAGCGACCTTTCAAAAAGGCAAGCAAACACAATTGAATCTGAAATACCAGCAGATCGTTCATACATGGAAGATCACCAAGAACTACTCAATAAACTAGATGCGGCAAGAACGTCATGTGAAGAAGTCGGCCGAAGTATTTGTCTCGATCACGAGATTGCAAGCTTCAAGCCTCTCATTCAAAAATACAAATGTTATAATCACATCAAAACCTTAAAAAAGCGTGTAAAATCTTTGCTTGTTGGCACTGATCTCATACCAAGTATGCTTGATCAGTCATTCATGAGTGATTTTGAAGTTAGAGCCACTCAACACGAATAAGAAGGAAGCACAAAGCACAACAAGTTTGATGAATGTTTGAAGCACAATCAAGTTCTGACCGTATGTTTAATTTTTTGATATTTTCTTAAAACAGGCATTAACGTATTACATTTTTCAGTTTGTAGTCTGGATACTACGGTTCACGCGGAAAAGAAATCATTGGGAATGTAATCAGCAAACAATTAAACAAAGACAACTTCAAAGGATCTGTCGCTTCTATTAATTCTTCCTTAAGCTTCTCATGCTTCTATTCCGCTGTTGTCTTTCCAGAAATTTGTGTCAGACTTATTTCTTCAGACCAAGGCGTTCCTAAAGCTGAAGCATTATCCATAATGTTGGCGACATTTGAAATAGGCGAAGTAATCAATAAAACGGATGACAAGTAAACTTCTACCTAACCATTTATATAAATATATATACTTTCTTTCAATAAAAACAACTTTTTTCTTACTTCATCGCAACTTATTTGGTTAAAAAAAACACGTTCAAATGCAAACTAGGGGAGAAAAAAAACTCCCGTTATGTAATCACAAAAAACTACGTTTTTTTGTTTTTATTTCTATTGTTGACAGCCCGGACTGTGACCGGACCAAAAAAAAAAATACGTTAAAAAAAAATACGGAGGTCTAGACATTTTCATTATGTACCTTAAGTGGGTCATTCTTATGCTTACAACTAATTTGTGCTCCGTCCGATCCCGACCTGTTTATTTTTGTTTCGTCTGAATATATCACCTTCTTCCAATTGTCTAACGTCCAAGAGATATGATTTCTTGCCCACTGGAGTCTTTTTTTTTCTGCTAGGTATCTTGATTAGTGGCTTTTTTTTCTTGTACATGAATTTAAGATCCAATGATCTCACCAGTAATGTCGTAGATGAGTAGCTTAAATGATAGACGATAGTGCTCAGGTACGTCTGGACATCTTTTGCGTTTGCCAAGTATCCCCTTCGAACTTTAAAAGAAATAACTTGGTTTGTCCATTTGGGGATAAGACTGGGTCTTCCACCAATGGGTTTTACACGTTTGATATCATCTTGATTTTTCATTCGGATGACTTGAGCTCTTGACACTCCTGTGGCTTGGACAATACCTTTTGTTGTCTTTCCTTATAAAATAACCGACTTGACGTTGTTTCTGGTGTCTTGGCTAAGTTTTATTTTTGCATTATAATCAGAATTAAGCTAACAGGAAAAAAAACGTAAGTGCGGGAAAAACATGGTTTAATCCCAGTTCTTTTTATACTATTTCAATTCAGACATCACTTTCACATGCGAAGACAAATTTTTTTGGGGTCCAGTAATGTATGTGATTGCTAGACACCATCTGGTGGTATCCGGAAAAGACAAATCATGTAATCAATTGCACTACTTGTAGACACTCGAGCTGTATAATTTGTGACCTAAAGAAATAGGAAAAGATAAGTTGAATTATTCGTTTTGATTTTCTCTACAGATACTTATTAGTTGGGCCACCGTCTATGTACATAAAAGGATTACAGCTATCGCATGTAGCGATCAAATTGACAGATCTCTGACACTTGCTGTGGAAAAACGCAATTCATTGATAGTTGGCGATTAAACGACGATCATAACATTTATTGCACAGAATTCACGAGAACGCCTTTGGGAAACAGGTCCAACAAATGCGGCAAGCTCAATAGCAATTGTTTAGGATTTTTGTTGTTTCTATCATTGACAGGTCTCGCTATAAGCTTGAGAGTAACGTCTCATGTAGTAAAATTAATTAGGTATTGAAATGTATCATAAAACCCGGCAGTTGCACAAAAATAAACTTCCACAACAGGTCAAGTCAAAAGGGAATTGCGATAATCCGATAGAGCATACCATCTTGCAAAATGCGTTCCCAATAAGCCGCACATCTACAAAATGAATGGAAGGTTCACTCGAATTGAATATTGTTGACAAAACAAAAACGCGGTTACTAGCAGTGACTGCTGTAGCAATCTTCGTTTGAACTTGGCTGATTAATTCGTATGTGTGCATACGGTCGGTCCAAAAAAAATATTCCCTTCTTATCTCTGGTCGTCATCTAAGGGCGGCATATAAAAAGTATAATTAAATATTTCATAGTTGCTGAAAGCAGTTGCACACAAAACTGTTCCCCGACCCAAAGTTTAAACAAGGAAAACAGCGTCAAAGTGGCGTTGATCATTGGAGTAGTCCGTAACAATGTGCTTTTCGGCAATCGCAACCTCTTGTAGAAGTATTAATTCCTCTAAGTTAAACTGTATCTCTAATGAACGGATACTGTTCCAGAATGCTTTGAAATTTAGACATTCGTTTTCGAAATAATCGGCGTAGTCATCGATCCAAAGGTCTTCCTGCATCGTATCAAAAAAAATTTCTTTATTTGGGTTGATTGTTCATAGGTACATTGTAAATTGAGGATGGCTAGAAAGGGAATATTAATTTTTTAAATTTGTTTTCTGCTCTTCCGTAGTATCTTAGTTATAGAAAGAGACCAGAGCCGTCATGATATCATGTGATAGTCTATGTTATTTTGTAAGAAAAGATTTTTAGTTCCAGAAAAATGGTTTGATCAGCGTTTCGGATTTCACCTTCAGAGCACCTATTGTCTTTGGACGAACAAAGACAATTCTTTTTCGTTTACTCTTTCTTTGTTCCTAGGCAATAAAATAAAATTGTTTAATAAACAAATTGGTATAAATTTATAAAGACTATTTAAATACACGGCCCCTTTGGGATTGTTACCTAAAAAGACATTGAAGACCGATTTATCCAGGGCCTTTTTTTGTTGCGAAACGTGTCGCAAGAGTGTTTAGCGTAAAAGAGAGCCCGTAACTGTCGTTTTGGAAGGGAAGAGTCTAATACTACAGAAGGCACAAAAGAAACAAAAAAAAAAGAGGAGAATGTACGTCACCAAATTAACAGAAAGTATGAGAGGAACTAATGCAAAGAAGAGCAACAGGCGGGGGGGGGGGGTCAAAATACTCGAGTGGAATAGACAGAGCCCAGATCTCAGCGGCCAATACAGAGAGCGGCGTAACAAATACGGCAGATCAGAAAGTGTCAGGTAGTTGATTGTTTATCCAAATAAGGGACGTCAGCAAGAGGAAACAACGGCTGTAAAACGACAAGAATGGGTCTTCGTTTTACATCAACTATTTGTATCCTCGCAAAGGAGAAAACAAACAATAAGTGTCCAGCAGTTAAAATTGGAATACCATAAATAGTAGAAATAACCGCATCTTTGCATTGCGCTAATTCAACTCGACATAAAATTGCCACGAGAAGGGGCAAAGAACTAATAGGTACCGGTACAACAGCAGAATACACACCAGCATAATAATTGACACCCAGAAAATAACCCACATTAACAGCAATAGTCGCAGTACCCGACAAAATTTCGGAAGCAAGGAGAGCCGCAGGAATAAGCCATACTCTGCTCGATGACGTTGCAGTGGCGGATAGGTTTGACACAGCAATTTAAAAACAAAAGATCATTTAACTAGAGAAGGGCACGGAGCATTATGACGAGCGCCACAAAAAGATTGGGCAACATTATAGACTTTTGAAGAGGCAAAAGCAGCCACTAAAATAGGGGGAGATGCCACAATCAAACGAATGAAAGTCTACATCTCTACACCAACACAAAAACGGATAACTGAAGGTCAGCATTTAAGTGCCACAGCAAAACTCAAAATGATTTATATCTAATAAAACATCTCAGATTTTGACCCAGGTCAAGCAACAGAATGAAGTAGATGATCTGTATTTGGTGGATGGGTGGGGAATGACGGCAATCGCCTACGACCGACCCAAGACGAACCAGCAAAACAAGCACAGTAAAAAAAGTAAATTTTTATCGCGTTGTCAATGTTGATGGAAAAAAAAGTGGAACAAATGAAACAGATCGTTCAAGATCGGCACTTGAATTAGAGAACGCTCAAAGAAGACAAAGATAAGAGAATCGCCGGAGGCATCAACAGGGGAAGAGGATCAAAACAGGGATACTCTAGTTTTTATTAAATAAGATTTAGTTCCGCGGGAAATATTGATGACGTGTGGAATTCCCGAGGGAGAAAAATTCGTGATCACGTTTTTTTTTTTTTTTTTTTTTTTTTAAAAAACAATAACAGAAAAAATCCGACTTTACGTTGTATTGATTTAAATAAAAAATGAAACACTGTCAAAGAAGAATATACACAAATTGCTGCTGTTGACACTCATTTACTTTACTGCACGCCTCAATGTTTAGTTTTCGGGTGTAAAATCGTGCTTTTAAAAAGAAAAACCGTGCT